CCATTATATTAAATTTCCTACTAAATAACAAAGCTTATACCAACTGTTACTTTGAGTACTGAACGGAAATTTGGTGGCTCTCAGCTGAGTACCATGGTCCTGAGCCTGAATCACATACCATAAAAGAAAACAGACCTCTTCCCACCAATACCACACCACTAAAGAAAGTGCTGGCGCACAGGTAATGGAGAAAAAAATAAGAACCAAGATACATCATGTACAGGTACAAGCACCCAATGATAAATGTAAATGTACTGTATACCTAAAATGTACCAATAAAAGAATTTAAGCAAAAAAAAAAAAGTACTGGAGACAGACAGAAACCTCAAACCCAGGGCTGGCTTGGGATGAAAATGAGAAAGTCTATTACTAACCTGATCACTGGCTTTAGCCTTTCCCTCTTGTTATGTTCTCTTCATCCTTACTGCCCCAGAGCTCTGCAGCTCCCACTTTGTACTTGTGGTGTCCTCCAAGAACACACTAGAAAACACCTTGATTATTGCTACCCCTTCCTCAAAATGACCTGCCCACCATTTGTTTCTAAGGGCCCTTTTGGGAGAAAGCAGCAACTACACAGTGGACACTGGTGGACTGACTGTTAAGGCTGCTAGAGATGATCTCACTTGACAGGAGATGGTTGGGGAGCCCCTAGAGGCTAACAAGAGCTTGAAGACTGCACAGCCTGAAATCCACTCTACTACTCTCCAGAGAGATGTAGAAGTCCAGAGAAGCCGGGCTGGTCTGGGCTGTGTGCAGTGGGAACAGTGGTGATGTTTTCTTAGACTCTCTATACAATTAATCTTGGTTATTGCAGTGAGATTCTTGTCTGATTTTGAACAGTTCATCCCGGCATGGCCTCAGATGTTCTGGTTGGTTACTGTCATTCCATGGGACTCTGTTTTTAGCCCTGGACACAGATAGTGACAACAATTGCCACAGGCTGCACTTTGCGCTATGGCCCAGACAATTTATTCTGACCATGCTGGGCTCTTGGCTTGGCTTCCTTTCTGTGGAAGCTGTGAAGTTCCCATTGTCTCAGAGCTAGCTGCGGCTCAGGACAGTTGGGCATGGATGAGAGGCCTCGTAGGGGTGAGGCTGCCTGTAGGGTCTAAGGAGGAGGAGCTGCTGGTGAACTGCAAGGCCTGATGGGACTTCCCAGCCCTTTATTCCAGGAACCCTTATTCCAGGAACAGACCCAAAGGATGAGTTGTTTGTGTGCAAACTGTACTGAAAAGTGCTCTGGGGATGCAGGGCCTGGTAGGCTGGATAGGCCGGGATGGGGTAAGGAGAAGGAAGCCTAGTAGCTGTGGCTTTGGCCTGTGAGCCAAGCTTGTTACCAGCAATTTGGGGGAGTGGGGGTTTAGTAACTGTTATTAAAGGGCTCAAATCATTATGTTAAATAGTGAATTTGTTTCCCTTGGTTATAAAAATATCCATGTTCACATAGAAAACATGGAAAACAAAAAACCTCTAATGGGAAAACAAACATTATCCCAATAGGTTTAATTGTTATTAACTGGGTTAACATTTTGATATAAATTCTTTAAATTCTTCTGGTCTTTTCTTCCTTATACGTACAAATTACATGCACACACACATAATTAAAAGAGGGATTGTATTATATCCTGCCTTTTCCACTCCACATTATATATTTTTCTGCAAAATGATTTTAATAGCTGAACATTATTTCATCTTTTTCGTGTCCTATAATTTATTCAATCAAACCCCTATTGTTGGACATTTAGCTTATCTTTAATTTCTCTTAATTACACATTTTTAATATAAGTCTTTGCTCACCTTCATAATTATATCTTTAGAATACCTTGCTAGATAAAATATGCACATTGAATTTTTAATACATACATTTTTATTTCCCTCTATAGAGATTATTCTAAATTATATTTCTTGCAGAAATATATGAAATGTATTGTTCTCCTTGCAACCTGATATTTGGTAGTCTGTATCTGTCTTAATCTTTATCAAGGTGAGAAGCACAAAATTCTATTTTAATTTCAATATTTTTGCTTATCAGTGTGATTTGATATATTTTCACTTATTTATTGATAAAATATATACACACATATCATTAATAAATGGGATTGTTCTATTTTTAATTGCTGCATAAGAGCTATTGATATATTGGGATTTCTTCTTTCTATTTTATACAATGAAAATACTTTTCTAATTTGTCATTTCTTTTCTGTCTGGGTTGATAAAATTTTAAATGTTATATAATTAAATATATTAATCCTCTTACTGTAGAATGTCTATACTTCATGCTATAGTGTTTCTACCATAGGGTATACTACTAATCTTTTTTCCTAGTATGTAGAAGTATTATTTTAATTATATAAATAACTATTTTTTCCATTTATTCTTTGGAATACATGGGATAGGGTAGGAAATTAACTTCTTCCTCTTAATTCCACTAGTTAACCTGATTTCCCAGTACCATTTATTGAATGATAAAGTCATTCTTTATTGATATAAAATGTTACTTTTATTTATATATGAAACATTTATACATGTTCTTGGTAGTTTATATATGATTTCATTGATCTATCCATACATTTCTGAAGCAATAATATACCACTTAGTGATCATAGATTTATCCTACCCTTGTATTTATTTATCCATTTTTTTTTTTGCAATTTCAAATTAGTTTTTGTTTCTCTTTTGATGAATCAGTTTCTTCTTCACTTTGGCATTTTGCCTTTCTTTACAGTGTTTTCACTGAATCCTTAGCATACTTTCACAGACTCCCTCTTCAACTTTCATTTAAAAATGTATTTAATGTTATAAATGTACTTCTCAACTCAACATTGTTTCCATACTACAAATTAAAAATATAATATTCCCATTATTATTTCTTAAGTATTCTTTCATCATGGTCTTGGCATTTTCTTTTGTCCCAAGAATTATTTTTAAAAGCATCTTTGAATAATCAAGTAGTAATTTAAATTATTTATACTTTTCTTATGATGATGAAATATGAAATGCCTTGTACGGAATATTTATTGTTTTCTCTGTTGCCTAAAGCATGTCAATGGGTCTAGAACTCAATATAAATAAAATGAGACATATCAATTATATTTGTCAAATTCTGTTTCTCTTTATTTGCTTTTTTCCACCTGAACTACCAAAAATAAAAAGATTTATTAAACATTTCCCTGCTATTATTTTTGGTAAATTCTTTCATATGTTCTAGGTTTTGCTTTATGTATTCTGGTGCCGTGCCATTGTATTAATGAGATGTTCCTATAACTAAAAAATAATGTCTATACTGAACAAATTGATGTAGCCATGATAGGAAGTGAAAAAGAGGATCAATTCTATGATGTTTCTGCCAAACACATCATTTAATCTAATCATGAGGAAATACCAGAGGAAAACAAATTGAGGGAGATGCTACAAAATAATTGGCCAATAATCTTAAAACCAAATGTCATAGGTAGATAGATAGATAGATAGATAGATAGATAGATAAAGGAAGACTGAAGAATTATGGCAGGATTAAAAGACATGACAACTAAATCTAGCAAGTGATCCTGAATTGGACTCTTTTCACCCTAAAAGCACTGTGGGACAATTTGCAAAACTTGAATGGGGTCTGTGGATTGGATGGCAGTATTGATTATTGTGAATGTCTGAATTTTGATGTTTGTATTGTGGTTATGTACAGAAATGTATTTTTTGGTAAGAATTACAGACTAAACTGATGGTCATAGCACATCACATCCTCCTGAGGTTCAGGAAAAACTTTTGTACTCTTGAAGCTTTTTTATAAATTTGAAATCACTTTAAGAAGAATTTTAATATAAATAGAATCATCTAGCCCTCCTACTTATAACCAAATCCTTCTATATAGTTTTTCTTTATGGTCACAGGCCACGTAGGAGGCTAGTTAGCATCACTCTAAAGTGATAGTGTTTAATGCTGGATGTGTTAAATGTGTCTGATTGCTCATGGCCAAAGGGGCCCAGCTAGCACCCTGAGCTGGGAAGTGCAGAACCAGAGATGGGGTGGTAGTGGACAGAGCACTGTGACAAAATTCCCTCCTGATTCTCAGAGCAAGGAAGTATTGAGTGTTGTGAGACTGCAGTTGGAGGTAGGAGTCTGATTCTACAGTGGAATAAAATGAATTCTGCTGAAAATAACGGCCCCTTTGCTTTGATTTTATGGGGGGAATAGGGGGGACTAACTGTGCAATAAATGGCATCCATTACTGAGCAACCTCCCTCTCTCTGGCAGCCATTTATGAGGGAGGAAATAATGAGACCAGGATACTTTGATTTTTGTCTTGTCCTTTCCACAAACTAGCATGTGACACAGAGAAAATCACTTAAGCTCACAATGACTTGATTATTACTCTATAAACAAAGAGGCTGGTATTTTAGGTTCATTCTAAGTCTAAAATGATAATATTGAACATCACTGAGCATGAGTATTTTAATGATCTAAAGAAGAGAGAGGTCTTTTAGGCTGGAGACTTCAGAAAGCCTTCAGAAGATTGCCAAGAGTTTCATTGGACCTTGAATGTAGGACAGAATAGAAATCTCCGGAGCAGAGGAGAGAACACTGGGAAACAGGTGCCTGGAAACAGACCTGGGGAAAAGGCAGAGAGATGGGATGGGAGGAAGAGACAAATGGGAGTTAGACCTAGCTGGGTTGGTTCCAGAGCCTTCACTCACATGAACTCACATGAAGATCCTGAGACAAGGTTTTAGCTTTCTTTTTTTGTACTGGGGATCAAACTCGGAACCTTGCTCTTGGGAGGTAGGTGGTACAACCACTGAGCTAAATCCTAGGCCCAAGGTTTTACTTTTAATGTTGTTTTATGGATGAAACTCCTGAATGTTCTCCATACCCTTATGAAAGGTAGGCCAAATATATATTCTGGGAGTGGAATTATTAGTATTTTAAAGAAATACTATGCTTGCTTTTTCTTTAGGAAAGATTTAGGAAAGCAAAGGCAACTGGAAAGAAAGAACTATAAAAATTAATTTGGCATTGCCTTGTGAAATTTAATATGGCATGATTGGGCCTTGTGGGTTGCTTTATTATTATTTTCCCTCTCTCTAAGAAAAGGTCTGGGTAAGGTCCATGTGGAATAACACGAGGCAAAAGAAACGAGGACTCCAAGCTGTGGAATGACACACAGGAGCTCAACAGAGCACATACATCTCAGGTCAGTGACCCCAGGAACAAGTCGCCACACCCAGGCCCTCTCTGCAGAGGAAACCACTTGGTGATGATGAAGGGAGATGCTGAGAGTTAGCCAGCCTGGCTGGGATGGCCAGGACACATGTTGGGCCAGCAGCCCTGTACATGTGTGGGCACCCTGGCTCTGGTTCATAGTGACAAAGGAGCAGCTGTATCTCTTAGCTCTCTGTCCTGGAGTGAGAAGACCCTGTCCCATAGGTCATATGTCAGGGTTGGGTGGATCCCATGGCTAGGAAATAAAAATATGGGCAGCCTGTCTGTTTGTGAGAAGCAGACAATCACAACCCCGGAGAGAAGAGCTTGTTCCCAATGGCTAAGTGGAGCGTGGAGCCCTGGCAAGAAGCAGGCAGCAAAGCAGGCCTGGGCTGAGGGCCATGGGCGGCTGCCTGGTGGGAGCACCATTCTTCCACCCCCTCTTCTGCTCTCTGTGGTTGGGAACACAAAGAGAAGGAGGGTGGATTGGGAGGGCCTGGCCTGTCTCCCTGCAGAGGTCGGTCCACTGGCCTCAAATGATTATTGCATTTAATGAATTGCAGCTTGTAAAAAGACTTTGAAGCTAGAAGGCAAAGCCTGAGTGCTGAGGATTCTTTCTCTTAAATCATTTTATTCTATGACTTGAAAAACAAATCCCTCTTGAGTCGGGAGATGCCAACCTCTACTTGTGGGAACTTAAAAAAAAAAACTTTTTAAAAAATGTGAACTACAAAATGTGGACAAACCAAAGCAGAAGAAGACAATGGATTTGGCATTTAGGTGGAAGGTAAGGAAGTTCCCTGGGCTTCCACTGGAACAGTAACAATTACCCCATTAGCTTGTGCATATCCCATAAATGTAAAAAGCATATAAATGGTGAGAGCAAATGGCTGTGATGCCCCTGGGAATATCTTTCTATACTGGAACCATCTTTCTAAATGATGTATGAAAGATCATATGGTATGTGTCTATCAGTGGCAATTAACCTCAATTCCTATCCTATACTCCGCCAAATAGCTGCATGGTGAAGGACCTAGCACTGGGTCTGGACTCCCCGCACCAGTTACCCAATAGAGAAGTACTGTGTTGGGGCACTTTTAGACATGACAAAAATCCTGTCATCGTTTGCTGCCAGTGATGGAAAGAGTGGCAGGTGTGCCCTCTCAACCAACCCACTATTGCCTGGGCACGGTGACAGCATCTTGCTGGCTGCACCTCAGAAATAAGCTGGGGAAAAGCTACTCAGGAAAGGGAAATGAATTGCCAGGAGGGCTTGCAGGTACCTTGGAGAAAAAAGATGACCACAGATTTTCAATTCCTACAGTTACTTTGTCCAGAGAGCCCCTCTCTGATATTAACATTATAACCCATCTCTTGGGTTTACTTTGACATGTCTAAAGGTATTTTTATTTATATCTTCCTTTATTAGTAGAAAATCAGTTCCTGCAGATAGCAGAATATATGTATGCTCCATGGAAACCTTAAAAATTTCTTGTCTTTCTTCTCAGCATGGCCTTTCTTCCCCTTTCATCTCTTCCCTTTTTCCTATGTCTCCCTTCCCTTTCCTTTGTCTTTTGTCCTCCTGCTGCCCTGCCCCCTGGTTTTTGGTAATTAATTTTTCTCCATTTATATCACACTTCTAATGCTGTCACCATTTATATGGTTCTGTGCTTATTTGTACTTCCTGTTCTGCTTTCTCTTTAAAAAGACTAAAGAAGTATTTTATTTGTCCTCATCCCTGTTCTCCATAACCGTGGTCGTGTACTCCGGGGTCTTGGTTACAGTGTGTTCATGAACAAGCCTTGTTGCTCTTTCCCTTTCTCGTCCTGTAGCTTATATTGTAATCTACTCTGAAACTTTGAGTCTCTCATTACCTCTCAAATCTGTCCTCATTAAAAAGTTTTTCTGTTGTTAGTAATTTCTAAATGTTCTGCTTGTAGAATCCATATAAATATCTCTGATATTGTTCCCTTGTACACCCTTTCTTGATTTCCTTTCTAGGTTGCTTATCTTTGTCCTCCACTTTATCACTTTTATTCACCATATCACTTTCCAAGAACAACACATAATATAGAAGAAAAACAAGTCTGGGTTTTAGCCTTGTCTCAACTTGATCTTGGGAAAGTTACATAATCTCTTAGCCTCATACTCTGACTGTGAAATGAGAATAAGAAAACCAAGCTCTCAGAACTATTATGATAATTAATTTGAAAAGCATACCTAGAACTCCTGATTCAGTACCTGGTGTATGGTAAATGACAACAAATATTAGTTTATTTTTTTCCATATTAGGTAAACCCTGTATATTTCATAAATTCATTGTAAGGAAATTACTTCCCATAAGTCTTTCAAAACAGATAAGTGGAACTTAAAGCCTTATCTCCCACTAACTGTTATTTTTTGGCTTTTTCATATTAAAATATTAAAATGCACCAATGAAAAATTTTGGTCCATAAGTAAAGTAGGATTTGGTCCTATTTGAGGCACTTAGCTCCTTGTAATAGCTCTATGAGAGTTGGGGAGACATAGAGCCCTTGTTTTATAGCCTCAGGTAAATTGCAGAACTTTGCCCCATCATTGGGAAGAATTAGGTAGTTGTGACCCATCCTGAAAGTCCTTGATCTTCCAAGTGAATGAGAAAGCAGAGAGGACTGACTATCTATGGTCTAGGATGTGGATGTTGTTGGGAGAAGAAAAATGAGGAAGAGAAGTCATGTTAGATCCTTGCCTAGTGTAATCAGAGTGCCTAACTGTGTCTATTTCACTTTTCAGCACTGCATTAAATTCAGTATTTTTTTTTTCATTAAGTTTTAGGATTTTACATTTTAGGTATACAGTATGATGACATTCATAATTGGGAATTTGTACCTTTACATGATATATCTTCTTATTTTTTCCCCATTCCCCTGCCCTCCCTTTAACCCTTCCACCACTCCCTATTTACAATGACATTGCTCCATTTTTTCCCTTACCTCATATTTATTCCTTTCCCTTCTTTTCTTTCCCCTACCCCTCTCACTTTCCCTTCCCCTTTGGACATTTTCTTCCTATCTCATATTATCTATCATATATTTTGATCCTTATTTACACTTTCAGTTTCTCACACCAGAGAAACTATTCAGTATTTACACACCTGTGTCCTATTTATTTCACTTAAGAGGTCAAAGATGATATCAGAAAATGGAAAGACATCCTTTGCTCCTGGGTAGGAAGAATCAATGCAGTGAAAATGGCCATATTAGAAAACTGCTAGATAGATTCAATGCAATCCCAATTGAAATTTCAACAGCATACTTCACAGAACTTGAGAAAACAATCCACAAATTCATTTGGAACAAGAAGAGACCTAGAATAGCAAAAGCAATTCTAGGCAACAAAGACAAGGTAGGGGGTATCACAATCCCCAACTTGAAACTATACTACAAAGCTACTGTGATAAAAAAAACAGCATACTGGCAAAGAAACAGACCTGAGGTCCAGTGGAACAGATTAGAAGGTGCAGAAACAACTCCAGACACACTCAGTCACCTTATCTTTGACAAAGGAGCCAAACACCCTCACTGGAGGAAAGATAGCCTCTTTAATAAATGGTGCTGGAAAAATTGGGTTTCAACTTGCCAAAGATTAAAACTAGACCTATATCTCTCACCATGCACTAAACTAAAATTGAAATGGATCAAAAATCTAAATGGTAAAACAGAAACACTAAACTGGCTAGAAGAGATGTTAGGTAGAACTCTTGAAGACATTGGCATAGGAAAAGATTTCATGAACAAAACCTCAATTGCCTGTGAACTAGCACAAAGAATCAACAAGTGGGATCTCATCTTATTAAAAAGCTTCTGCACAGCAAGAGAAACCACCAACAGTGTGAAGAGACAACCCACAGAGTGGGAAAAAATTTTTACCAGCTGTTCCTCAGACAAGGAAAGGTCTACTATCTAGAATATATAAAGAACTTTAAAAAATCAGACCTCCCAAATTAAAAAACCCATTCTAAAATTGGGCATCTGAAATGAACAGACATTCCTTAGACAAAGAAGTAGAAATGGCAAATAAACATGAAAAAAAAACATTCAACATCACTGGTCATCCAAGAGTTGCATAGAAAAACATCACTGAGATTCCACCTCACTCCAGAAAGAATGGCTGCTATTAAGAAATCAACCAATAACAAATGCTGGTCGGGTTGTGAGGAAAAAGGAATCCTTCTCCACTGTTGGTGGGAGTGTAGACTGGTGCAACCACTGCAGAAATCAGTATAGAGACATCTCAGAAAACTAGGATGAGAGGTCCCATTTGATCCAGTTATTCCCCTGCTGGGTATCTTCCCAAAAGAATTAAAAGCAGCATACCACGGCGATATATGTACATCCATGTTTATAGTGGCAGAGTTTGTAATAGCTAAAACTTGGAAACTGCCCAGTTGCCCATCAACTGGAGACTGGATAAAGAACATGTGGTTTTTAAAAATAAAATGGAGTACTACTCAGTCATAAAGAATGAGAAATTGGAGACATTTATAGCTAAATGGATGAACATTAAAGCTATACTCAAGTAAATTCACTATGGAATTAATGGTTAGCCAATCCTTGAGAAAATTGTGAGCAACAACCCAAGCTAGGATGGTGGGGAGATCTCATAGAGAGAGACAAAGTCAGACCCACTGAGGAGGTGGTAGCAAGGTTCTAGTTACATTGGTGCATTGATGGCTATTTGACTGTGGATTCAAAATGGTGGACACAGGGCTGTTCAACAAACATGGAGATGTAAAATATTGTAAACTATGGAAACTAACTCTACAACTGTGTTGGTGAAGAGAGGAGAGCTGTTACAATAGGATCAAGTCCTGACCACATGAAAGAGGCCTTCACTTCAAAGGGGAGAGCCATCATAGTAAGGAGGCACACAGTAGATGTCCGGCGCCCCCACAGAGAGTTGTATTTGGACTGAGATATGGTGCCTCTAGCTCCCTACTTTCTTCTATTTCTTTACAAGGCATTGTGGCCATTGTTCACATGTGCTTTTTAAAGAGTCTTTTAGGAAACAGAAAAAGGGAGAAGTCACAATGTGACATTCTGTATATGAAGGTCTTCTTTGAATAGCTTTTTAAAGAATATGATTAGGACAGTGTCCCTAATCATTGATCGACTGAATCAGAAATTCTGGAATGGGGTCAGCAGTCTGAGAAGCCCTCCAGGTGATTCTGAAGCATGCTTAAGTTTATGAACTTCTTAGGGTGCAAGGCTTAGAGAGAATTCACATCACCTGTCTTGGTTCTAACTCCAGCTCTTGTAGTTTACTGTGTGACATCACAGGGCTGTTATAAGAATTAAAAGAGAAAATGTCTGTACATGGGGCTGCTAGCAGTATTAGAATCCTAGCTGGTGCTCCATAGACAGTACCTACCTAGGAACCTGGGGCAGGGATGAGTTGTGGCTTGTTGTGAGACTTGCTACGGGAATTCTTTGTATTCATGCATCAAGTTTCTCTCCACCTTGTAGAACATCCTGGGTTCTATATGATGATATCTTCTTTGTATCCCACTACTAAAAAGTGTGAGAAATGTTGCTTTGTGGGTACCCTGCGAGTGAGTGGTATGGCTTCCCCAAGGACTGGGAACACACAACTCCAGTGGAGACCAGACCTGCATCTTATTTTGTTCTTTGGAAGATGGGTAGAGGGAGCAGGTGTTACCTAGGTTTTTCCCCTTTGGTGACAATGTTCTTCCTGAACCTTGAAGAGCAATGAGGAGACAAAAATCAACACTTTTGTGGTTCAGCTGACATTAAAATAGGAAAAAGCATGTCACTGGAATTAGAATGTCCTGTTCATTAGTCACTTTTTCTTCTCAAATTAAAATGTCTCTGCAAGCAGGAAAAGAACAAGCCCTCAATGACCTCATAACTCATTATTTCTAAGGAATATACTTAATTCCTGGAGTAGATGAATCTGGTATTGATTCTCCATTTCTGTCAGACATTGAATGGCAGGCTCTGGGATCCTCATGGAAGAGAATGTGTGCTTTTTTGTGGGGTTGGTGGGGGCTGAAAAAGAGAGGTGCTTGCTGTTGTCTGTGGCCTTGTGGGTAGCTGCTGAAGATCAATTTTCCATTGCAAGCCATTCTCAGCCTTTTAGAAGCTTCTTTATTGTAAGGCTTTTTTAGCTGTGTACACAGGCACTCTTACAGCTGTGATCTAGGCCATCAGAAAAGAATGTGCCAGGCACCAACTGCTGATACCCAGCGAGAGGAAAGGGAACCATAGTCTATGCTGACACTAAGATGGTTGTTAGAAAGAGGGTTTTGTCCAAAGGTTTCTGTAATATCCTTTGCCTCTCTGTTCAGCGGATGTTTATCTTGAGGTTAACCAGAGCTCTAGCTGAGCCAGGATCCTCCCGGTGCCAGGATTAGACCCCTTCCTTAAGCAAGTGGGATGGCTCAGTGTTCTCTGTAGTTATACCAGGAAAATACTTCTGGGTATAGTTCAAGGGTCTCATGCCATGATAAGTTGGACCATCACTAGACCCCATGACAGTTATCTGCCCCTCCAAAAGCTGTGGACATAGAGTACTGTATAAATCATCATAGAACGCAGCAATGGCAAGTTCACCTCCAAGCTCAGTGAAATGTCTGCTGATTTGAAAACACTGTTTTCATGTTGAATTTACAGTTTCTAGCTGTGCAGATATAAGATGATAGGTATAGAAGTCATGAAGGGACTGCGGCTCAGAAAATGTATACTAAATTTAACACTTTGTAACTTAATTCCTCACAAACATGCTCATGCTCATTTTTATATCATTAATTAAATTGAAATTATGCTCCAGGCAAAAACACAAATCATTTTAGGGTTGACTATATGATGCAAAGTTGCTGAATGATGAGCAAAGCTGTATTTCCTTAGGTGTATTAACAAGCTTAATAAATTCCACTTGAAATAGTTTGATATATAGCACTATAATTTGAACCATTGTTTAGCAGCAATCCTTCTTTCTAGAATGATGGCACATGTTTCTTGGGACTTTACCAGGAGAGTATTCCCTTACAAGGTTCTTGATCAAGTTTATCAACTGAAGGATGCTGAATAATGGTCCCCAAAGATATCAGGCCCTAATCCTTAGAACCTGTGACTATCTCTATATAGTGCAAGGTTTTTGCAAATGTGAATGGGTATGAATGTTGGGCAGGGAATGTGAATATTAATCATGATGTGTCAAGTTGAATGGATTAAGAAATGACTGGCAAATTAGTAAAGTTCTGGGTGTGTCTGTGGATGATTGACATTCAGGCCAGCAAACTGAGAGGTGAAGACCTGCCCCATTTGTGAGTGGTACCAACCAATAGAGTTGAAGCCCATGTGCAATAAAAAGGGAAAGAAAAAGGAAGTGTGCCTGTTGTAAAGAACACCAATATGCTCAAGTGGATGCATTCCTTTGCCCCTGTTTTCTTTGTGTATCAGGCTCCAGGTCTCCAGTTTCTTCACCTTCCAAAGCAGATTCGCACCAGCAACTCTCCAGTGAGCTTCCAGGCCTTCAACACTGGACTAGCACTGCGTCCTTGATCCCTCTTATTCTGTGGCTTCTATCTTCCTGGGTTGAGCAGCTGCAGGATCTTATGGCATGGAGGTGGCTGTTGTGGACTCTCCCACTTCTGATCCTGTAAGCCTACATAATAAATTCCCTTGCATAAAATTATACATACATTTTCTATCAATTTTGTTCCTCTAAAAAAATCCTAATACTGACTGAATAACAATTATACTTTCTAAAGTCCTTTGAGAATTCGGCTCTTCAACTTACTGCTATGCCATCTCTAAAGTGAATCTTTATCTTCATGGTCAAAGATGGTGGTTAAAGCTCAAGCCATCACATCCAAGTTCTTAGCCACATAATGAAATAATGTATGAAGAAGAATAAGGCAGGAGGTATAACTCAATTTTCTTTAAGGAAGGTTACTGAAATTCCATGACACTTCCACTTATTTCTCATTGGTCAGAAATTAGTGACATGGCCGTACATAGCTGCAAATGAAAATAAGAAACATGACCATGAATCCAGCTAAAAACCACAATTCTATTACTATAGAAGAAAGCAAGAACATTGCCATTGTAATTTCCTAAATCTCAGTTCTCGTTAGGTCATTATGTTACTGCATACTGGTGTAGTCTTCTTGAATATCAAGTAAGACTTACATTATATGCAATGTAAAAAGGTGTAGCTGCTTCAGTTTCAGGTTGGCAATAAAACCCACCTTCCTTCCTTGATTCTGCTAAATCTGAACAATCATCTCAAGGAAGCACTAAAATTTATTGAATTCTCACTACAAATCAGGATAGGAGTCAGGTGTGACTGGATTGAAATCCCACCTCTTCTGTTTACTACCTGTGTAACTTTGAGCAAATTGTTTCAGTTCTTCAAGCTTAAATTTTATCACCTTGAAAAAGGCATGGGTAAAGAAGATGTGTTTTTTTTATAAAATGGAGTACTACTCAGCCATAAAGAATGAGAAACTAGAGACATTTACAGCTAAATGGATGCACATTGAGGCCATACTCTTAAATGAAATAAATAGGACACACATGTGTAAATACCAAATTGTTTCTCTGGTGTGAGAAACTGAAAGTGTAAATAAGGATTAAAATGATTAAAATGAATAATTGATAATTTGAAATATTAAAAGGTCCAAAGGTTTAGGGGTGGTGGGAGGGGAAGGGGAAAGGAAAAATTATGAGAAAAGAAAAAAATGGAAATGAAATCTATGTAAATAGGGAAGGGTGGAGGGGGTGAAGGGCACACAGGTAATGGGGAAAAAAATAAGAACCAAGATACATCATGTACAGGTACAAGCACCCAATGATAAATGTAAACGTATTGCACACCTAAAATGTACCAATAAAAGAATTTTTTTTAAAAAAGGCATGACACCACACCTAAGGAGGTTGTTAAGATTGGATATCAACCTGCATGTGAAATTTCTGGCACATAGGTAAGGCTGATACAATAAACCTCTTCTAATATACATTATCCTTTCTTAACTAGAAGTTATTCTGTGACTCTCTATATCTACCCCCATACCTGGGTTCTTTTATCCCTCAGTCTTTTTTCTTCCTGGTTTAGATCTTTTCCAACCAGTTCATATGCAGGAGTAGGCCCAGCATACCTAGGGCACACCACAATATACAACAACTGCCATGCAGATGTGGAAAACAGAAAACCCACTCTAGGTGGAAAAGCGTTCTATGGACTACAGTTCACCCAGAAACATTCAAAGCATCCACAGCTATACCTAAAACTTAAATAGATGCAAATGCAGATGAGCCCAAGGGTAGGATTTAATTTTTATGAGCAACAGACCATTATGACTGAACTTTAAATTCCCTGGAAGTGCTGAAGCAAACATAGTCTCTCAAGGAATTGTATAATATAGACTGAAGGGTATGATTGACAGCGGTCCATGTTCCAAGTGTAAGGCTCCCTCCCTGTTTGGCTCCCACCTTCTCGCCCCGAGCTTGTTCTTGCTGACAACATTTCTTTATGTCCCATTAGTCATGAGGTTCACTAGGATAAATTTATTTTGATAGTTGCCACAGTCATTTCTTAGGGCTGCCATAATAAAGTGCTACTGATTAAGCGGCTTAAAACAATACTTTGGAGTCTAGAAGCCTGAAATCAAGGTGTCAGCCACAGCGTCATGCTTCTCATGAGACTCTGAGTAGAATCCTTCCCCATAGATGCCTACCTCCTGGTGGAGGCTGGAACATTTTGGTGTTCCTTGGTGTATAACTGCATCACTTCTGTATCTACCTCTGTCATCACAGGATGTTCTCCCAATATGTCTCTTTGCTTCTTCTCTTTTTATAATGACACTAGTTATGTGGGATTAGGTTCCATGTAAATGACTTTATCTTACCTTGATGGCATCAACAAAGACTCAATTTCCAAGTAAAGGTGCATCTCAAGATACTGAAAATTAAGATTTCAATGTATTTTTTTCAATGTATCTTTTTGGGAACACAACTCAATCCATGACATTTATGTTATAGAATTAGAATTTTGTGAAGTTAAAAATAAATCAGAATATATCCAAAGTTAACCTTATGTAAATTTCACTCACTTGTAATTACTTTCTGATAACCTTGATTAGCAGAAGAGAATGGGAAGGAGTGATGAGCTGTTGGCACTGAAGAAGCTCAGACCCTTAGTGAGCTTTGGGAGCATCTTAAATATGATCATTGCGATGGTCATATACATTCCCACACGAGAACCTTTCCTCCTACTTAAGGGTGAAGCTTAGGTGTTTAAGAGAGGAAAAGCTGGCTAAGCAGTTGCTTCGGCAATTAGAGTCAGGACATGGGTTGTACGAGGCCAGTGTGCATTTGGGAGTCACTGTGCCTGTGAGTGACTCTGTAGGTACGTGTGAATGACCATGTGAGTGAGGGTTGTCTGTGTGTCTGGAGGAAAAAGAAATGGGAACACTGAGATGCTAACAGCAGTTAGAAGGTGAGTGGAGAGAAAGGCCCATCCAGTAACAGACCATCTATCTATACAAAGCTGGAATGTGACTTTCTAGTAGAAAGGAACACCAATGACTGAACAAAATTAGAGACTTAGATGTCTGTGCCAAGTCTATATTGGGTTACCTTATGCTTCTCTTCCTCTACTATTTAGGATGAATGGTTATAGGCCAGATCCGATTGTAGTTCTTGACTCTGACTTTTTAAAAAATGAGAAACAAACACTAGTATTTTTTTTATTTTGTCAGATGTAGAAGACCATATCCCCTCCTCCCCTTTCCTTGATTCTGCTCTAAGAACCACTAAACAGATTGAGATCAACCTTGCCAAGAAAGTTTTACTATGAAGATGAAAATATACAGAGGCAAGTTTTAGTATGAAAATGCAAGGTAGTTAGATAACTACCAAAAAGTAGAAATCAAAATTCCAACTCATGGATACATTTTGTAATAACTCTTTTATCTGTCATTAGCAATGAATCTCATGCTTCAGGGAAACCAAAAACTTATTTGGGAATGTAGTACCAGTGAATGAGTCACTATCTTTACCTATTTCACTTATTCTGGTTTTATATTCTAAGTCCTTTAAAGTCACATTCAATGAGTGTGTCTGTTATGAAATAACGTGAAGGAAAGCATGGGATGGAAATTGAAACTAGTTTTTTTTTTTCCCCTGGGGCAACAAATAATGTAAGTATTCCCAAGAACAAGGTATACTAAGGGAGATGAATACCCTCTAGCTTTTGTTGTAAAATAAATGTGGTGTCCTGTATATGGGAGACACTAAGTAAGAACTTGTTGATGGTTAGTAGTAGTTTGAGATTTGAAGTAACTTGAGGCAAAAAAGAATATTTGTATGCCGGATTTGATTTTCCAAGGATGGCCACTATCATATGACCATCATCTCAGGTTGAGACTATGATTCTTCCCGAGTGAAGCTGTACTACTTCCCAAGTCAAGTCATAGAATGCAATAGGGCCATTTGTCACTTGGTTCCTTTACTCTCTTTCTCTTCCCTTTCTTTTCTCTCTTTCACTTCTCTCTACCACCACCCCTGCCTTTCTCCATCTTTCTCCTCCTACCAATTCTTGTCCTTGTAGCCCAGTCACCATGTGCTGAGGAAGACCAGGCCACATAGAGATGCCATTGTGGTTACACCAACTGGCAATGTTAGCCAGGCCTACCAATGACAGATAGCAATAATGGCTGGGCTGTGATTGAATGAGGCTACAGGTGACTCTGGGCCCTGGTCTTCACATCTTACAGCTGAGGGCCCAGATCCAGTGTCTTATGTGAACTGAATTTCTTATGCACAGAAACTTAGTATTTTTTTTTAAAGCCATTAACTTTGGGGGATTATTTGTTACTCAGCCATGGATTATATCTTGGGAGGATCCTAGGACGGGACCATATCCAGGAAGGTGAGAGATTCTGCTTCTTGTAGACTAAACTTGCTGGAATGGTGCAAGGGATCTTGGTCCTAGTTCTTCTTGTTGACACTAGGTCCCGTTATTGCTGGGCTCAGCCTCCAGGCCCTCACAAGCCCTTCCTTCCTTCCCCCCTTCCTTCCTTCCCCCCTTCCTTCCTTCCTTCTTTCCTTCCTTCCTTCCTTCTTTCCTTTCTGTTTTATCCTTCCCTTGCTCCCTTCCCTGCTCTTTCTTTCTTCTTTCTCCTTCCTTCCTCCTCTTTCTCTCTTCCATGGTGCTAAGAATGGAACCCAGAGAGGGCTTCACACATGATAGGCAAGAGCTACATCCCAAGCCTAAATAATTTACAGCCACTTTAAATGGAAGCATCTGAATTATGGTTAGAGTTCCATGGTCCACCATCCAAATCCTTTTGAGGAGGTCACATAGTTTTCTTATTTTGAATATTTGCCACCCATGTATATATCAGCACTTCTCAAGCTTTAGTGCACATGCAAATCACCTGAGCATCTTGTTAAAATGTAAGTTCTGGGCCAAGGATTTAGCTCAGTGGTCCTGAGTTCGATCCCCAGTACTAAAGGAAAAAAAAAAGTAAGTTCTGACAATAATTCTGCGTGAGGCCAGTGAGGCCTAGATCTTGCTTTTCTAAAAAGCCTTCAGGTGACACTGAGGCTGTTGCTCTGTGGACCACACTTTGAGTATGAAAGGTGTAGAGGACT